TAATTATAGCCACACTATTTACAAGTTTCCATCGAAAACGTTACAAGGTTCATTTATTAAATCTACGTACGTCACTATCGTATTAATGCTTTAACTTTGAACTTAGGCTGCGGAAATAGGAGTTTCCAAGAATGTGAATTAAAGTAAATAAATCCACGTTCGTAAATCGCTTGTAATTTATAACATTTTTAAGAAATTCAGTCACGTTTGTGAAAGAATAATTACCATCTTTCTATTGCCTTAAATAGTGAAATGTTGATTGAAATTAAACCAATAGAAGGAATTATGCAAGCATTTGCTGTAAGCAGACACGCAGGACATATAAATTATGTTCACAGTTTAGTTGCGCTAAAACAAATGTTAAGAAAAATAATTTCATTCATACTAATACTACTAATGCGAAAGTTTAGTCGGATGGATGGATGTTTAATAGTTTGTAGCCTAAACGGCTAAACGAATTTCGATGAAATTCGGTATAAAAGTAGAGGATAATCTCGTAGAACACTTAGTTTTGTTTATTTTTTTTTAATCCACGCGGACGGAGTCGTGGGCGAAAGCTAGTTAATAATAGTTGAATGTAGAATTCGAAGGAATATACTTATTTCTAGCAGTTAACTAGCGTCGTCATACTATTGTTTAACATACTGTTACGTGTAAATATTCTTTGATAATTAGCTTTTTAATTTGTGACATGTTTTATCATTTTGATACTCTTTGGATATAAAAATGTAAGCGGTTACCATGGGAACGTGTTGTTGTTAAGTCAGGGAGATGAATAAAAAGATAACTAACATGGAATAAATCGTTTAATTCTCAACAATACATAAAAACTACGTGTACAATATGATGATTCAACAAATATAATTTAGTATACCGCTAATGGCGTCTCTCTTATTTCAATATCGCTATAGAAATTATTGTTGTTTAAATAGTAACCGAGAAGTTCGCTGACCCTTTTAATCCCGTCCCCGACTCAGAACATTAAATTACTGCGAACCTTCTCACTTAGACGTTTTCATGAGCCGTCAGTAAAAGTTAAGAGCAAATCTACATTTATTCAAGGCTGAAAAATATACTGGAAGTATGACGTAGTATAAACATGCAAATCGGCTATTAAATAAATTTGCAATTTAATACGAAGATATTTGCAAACACAACGCTCTGTGTTGTTTAGGATTAAAACATTGGAACCTCGCTTTTTACACTACTTTGTCTCTATAATTTAATTATACTAATATTATAAATGCGAAAGTTTAGATGGATGGATGTTTGTTAGAGTTTGTAGCCTAAACGGCTGAACGCATTTCTATGAAATTTGATACAGATGTAGAGGATAGTCTAGAAGAACACATAGGCTACTCGCTTTTATTTTTTTAATTAAACGCGGACGGAATCGCGGGCGAAAGCTAGTATGTTAGTTGGATAAATCCTTGTGTATTATGTTCATTTGTAGTCCTTTGAACAGAATAATACGTCTTAAATTGAAATGAGAACCCTCACGTCATAAAATCTGGTCCAATGAATCGTGAAGCAGGCAACGTGCCCACCAAATCAATTAAATCTGCCCCAATCCAATTTGAATCCCGTTATAAATTGCCTTATAATTTGTTACCTCATTTTCATATGTTATTAAATTGCAGGAGACTTCTCTGGATACCAGGTTATTATGAAAAGCTTTAATTTTCTCTATTTTTGGTTTACAAAAGATTATCATTCAATATAGTAAATTTATAACTCCCAAAAGCGTACTCCTTCCTTCAAGGCTGGTAACGCGTTTGCTGTTCCCTTGGCGTTGTCCGTGGGCGTCGGATCAAATAACATTAGACAATCCGCTACTCGTTTGTCTCCACTTTAAAAGAATCTAGTTTCATAAATAAAAATTCATAAAGCATTGATTTTTTTTTAATTTAGACGTAAACCTATTTTGCTAAATCCCCATAAGAATAAGGACAGGAATGATAATGGAATTATGATCGTGATATTTCTATAATAACTTCAAATAACAAGAAAAGTGAAAATGGAACAAAGAATTAAGAACATTCTGTCGACTAACGAAATGCACTTGACGCTACTTGAATATAACGTAATTGGATGCGAATAAAAACTAAGTATACTCTACATTTAAACAAAGAGAATTATTTCTATTATTATAAGTGTTATTTCTAACTAGCAGTTGCTTGCGACTTCGCCCGCGTGAAATTGAAAAATAATAAAACGTATAGCCTGCATTAGTCATTGATAACAGGAGTTTTTGAAATCGGCCTATTTTTGAATTATTTTAATACATACAAAAATACAAATCTTTCCTCTTCATAATATTAATTCTGTATCTTATTTATAATTATCCGCACCCATACTTATAGTTAAACCATTTTAATTAACGAAATGGACTATCCCCGTGAGAATGAATAAACCTTTGTAGGGAGTTCCCTAGCTGTACTTTTACGAGCCAATTTTATTCGGTCTGTAATTTAAACAGTACAGTCGTAAAATACGCTCAAATAAATCGAAACAGCAACCGTGCCCATCGGTATCTATCAATTTTGAATTGTGAATGGTTTCATAAAATCAAAAACGTTGCATCGCGATCTATGCGAAGTCGTACATATTTGTCAATTTTAAAGGTTATCTATATACTATTATAATAATGTGTAAACACACACTTCTTTGTTGCCTAAGGTGTCAGCAATTACAGCATATTGTTGAATAATTCTATTTTTAACAATAAGCCTTACAGTTATGTCACGCTTTAGGCTATATATTTTCACGCCATTGAGCTTAGGGGGTAAATATTTTGGATAAAAACCCTAATTTGGGAAAGAGACCATAAGTTGCTGCCAACATTAAGGAACCAAGATTGCCAAGGTTTGTCATGTCATGTCATTTTGACATTTGCTATTGAACATTTGACAAATGTAAACAATAAAATAAAATTTTCATATTTTCATGCGGATGATGCCACACGGGAACAGCTAGTTATTTAATTCTATGATATTATACTTGAGATTTTAGATAACGAATAATTACTTTATATAAGGATGGCTTTTACATGAAATGAAACAATAATTGGACGCCAATTTAGGGAAACAATTACTGGATGTATAATTGAGTTTGCTTAGTCACTCGCGCTGATCAATTAAGTAGTTTAGTGCATACAATTGTAATTAAATTGTAAGGAACAACTTTGTAACTTAATTTTGTAATTTTTAATTAATTTAGGTTACCTTTATTATTTTTAATTAATAAGATTTTGTATCTACATAATTCTACAATTTTATTTGAAAGAAATACTTGTTCTATTTAACTGTGTGAATAGGGAAGCACGAAAATTTGCGAGAAAGTATCGGTATATCGGTATCGGTAACAATATCGGAAATATTTCTAAGAGATTTTTCGGTGTACTTTACGGCAGATAGAGCCGCACAATTATAATACAATTTTTTTCGATCCGATACGAATATTCTCATAAACTTTCTTGCCATCCCTATTTAATATATCACTACTAACGTTATTGCTTAGAAATATATATACGAGTACATCTAATTTACAAACTTTAATGACTTCGTAATAAACTGTAATCTGCATTCATAAGTTAATTTTCTCCATAATCATAAAATCAGTCGCTCTCAGCTGTAACAATACAACCTGTACTACATTGACAATTTTATCTATAGCTCTTAAAATATAAAGCACTTTCAGATAATACTATAAAATTATTATTCACAAAAGAATAAGGTTTATAATATGATGTTTTAGAATTTTTATTGAACACTTAGTTTGTTTTATTTATCGTTTTTCATTGTGTATATTTTCGATAACGAATATTAATTTACTATCGTCAAAAACTACTTAAATTTATAGTAAATTTTAATTTAATATTATAGACGCATTATTTTAAATTTAGTTACTTGTCGGATAGTATTAAGCGGTATTTTTTTGCTATAAAAAGTTCGATTAAATTAAAAAAATAAATTAATGGCAGCATTTTAAGTGAATTTATAAGTATGGAAACCCGCGGGGAATGACCAAGTCTTTGCAAATTTCCATAAAGTTAATTAACATGGGCAGTGAACGCAACTTTCCCTAGCTTCTTGGAAAATTTTATAGTATTATTAATCAATAAAAGTATTTGTATATTTATATTCTCTCTCTTCTAGTTCTAGGCAAGTTCTAGTACAAGTGTAGGTATCAATTTTGATAAGAATTACATTTTGTGCAGTGCTCTTGGGCGTTAAATACAGCGAAAAATATCATACAAAAGCGAAACATTTTGCCCATGACAACACAATTCGTTTTACGCTTCGTGCATGCCTCTGTCCCTAAATAAAAATTTCTAAATGATTCGCCAATCATTGATTGGAATACTAGAGAACAACAAATTACGAGCTAGAAAATGACAAGAGGTAAAGAGATTTGGAATAAGGTTTAACAAAACCTAATTGTCGATAACACTTTCAAAGACAACACATACCATTCAGTTTTATTATGTACTGTTTATGATTCCGTAAAAGGGAATTGCTGTGGTTGTAATTACTAAATGTCATTAAGAGAAGATTCTTATGTTACAACAGGTATTACGTTTTACATCTTACGAAATTCATTCTATCTTTGTATTATGATTACACAAAATTGACTAAATAAGCATATTGTCTACATAAATTTAGCTTTTATGCGTTAGAATCAATAAGTACTTAGATCTTTTAATTTTATTGAAAATTACTCTTATTTTCATACATGCTCATTTTAATAGACAACACCAGAACAATAATTGCGCCATCTCTGGACCCTTACTTGAATCATATTTCAATTGAGTTATTTAGTTAACGAAGTTCATTATAAGATAAGTTACCTACATATACAATATTTTACAAATAAGTACGATAGTTTTACATTTAATTCCGAACTTCAACGAAATTAAATGTTACCGATTACCGCTTTTCACATTCACTATGTCTATGGATTGTCATTCATCACTACTTACTCTTTGACATATCCCAGCAACCATTACACAATTTATGACGAATATGGCCGTCTATTACGAATGGGAATATTCGCGGTTATTTTTTCTCAATACTTGCTTAATTATCTAGTTTTTATATTTTGAATTACATTGCCTTACAGTATAGAATGTAAGTCAATGCGCGTATTAAAATCTTTGACGTAAGTATTTTAGATCAAGTGTAATGCCCCGACATCCTTGACCGAGCTTATGTGGTAAAAAAATAACCACTATTTTTTTCTCCTAATTTAATAACATCTGTTACAGGTATCCTGAAGATGCCAGTTAATCCTGTGTCAGGAACGAAAAAAGGTGTTGAAAAATCTAAATTTACATTATCCCTAAACAGGAATAATGCTACATATTTGAACGACGAAAATAAAAGACCTGTGATTTCGAAAGGTATTTCTAGCTCTCTTAAAGTGTTCGACAATAAGGAGAATAAGCCCTTAAAGAGAGGACTTAACAGCACGTATCTAAATACTTTGAATGCTGCAAAGAAACTAAAACCATTATCGGAAACTCCGAAACTTGCCGGTAAGTACAATCAATACGTAACATTTTATTTTTTGTTTTTTAATCTGAAAAGATTCAAGAAGTAAGATTTAGCCATAGCCATAAATATTCTTTAGTATTAGTTTTATAGCCAATATTTTGTTAATTGCTGAACTTTAAATGACGTATATATAAATTTGTTTTGAATGGTACTAATTGAAGTGTTTTTTTAGATAGCAAGCTGATAGTATTAGCAAAGCCAATTGGCAACGCTGCCATGTTGAATGGCCATCACCAAGCAGACAATCAGTATGGGGGAGGGACACAGTGGAAAGCCCCTATTGCTACTCTGTCTAACTTGGGGAACACTTGTTTTCTAAATAGTGTACTTTATACACTAAGGTATGTAATTCTTTAAATATTTTATACATCATTACCTCAATATTATGCCACTAGAGGCTCAGTCTGCCCAAAAATAGGAGTAACTGAATTATAGTCAAGCAACCCATTGAGGGTTGGGATTTTTTTCTTACAGGACATATATTTTTGTTTTTAAAATGCACATTTATACATACACTTTTTAACATACTATGACTAACATTGTTATTATCTTATATCTACTAGCTGTTGCTTGTGACTGCTCATCTGAAATTAAAAAAAAGTAGTAAAAATATAGCCTATATTACTCAGTGATAACATAGCTTTTTAATAGTCCAAGAATTTTTGAATTTTGTCCAGTAGTTTTTGAGATACATAAAAAATTCCAAAAATATAAATCTTTCCTCTTTATAATATTTGTAAAATAATTCAATTGTTCATCAATTATCTTATTCAAAACCTCTTTATTCAAGGTATGCACCTCGGTTTCTCCACAATCTACACCATCTGGTATCAGATTTGGCAAGTGTGGAGCAGAAATTAGGTAGCATCAGATTAAAGAGTTCATCATTAGGCCGAAGTGCTGCAGGTTTAGCATCATCAGGGACCAGATCATGGAGCAGTAAGGACTTACTGTCTTTAGGACAATCTGATAATAGCGCTGGGAAAAGTAAAATACAGGTTAGTGTAAAAGAAATTCAAATAAATCAGAAGTACAGAAACATTTTTATCATAATTACTTTTAGTGAATACAGTAATTGAAGAGATGTTTAGGAAGAGAAGATATATTGTTCATAGACATCCCCTTCTCTATTCTGTTAAGGATACGCAAACTTCTATTTGTAGAGTAATGCATATCTCACATTAGGCTAGTAATCTTGTTACTAATTTTAACAAAATATATATGAACTGTGAAAATTTATTTTTATACTTGAGCAAAATAATACATACAAGTGTAAATAAACTAAATTACTAGCCTACTGTGAGTATATATAAGGGGAAACTTTTATATGCTGGCAATGTCATGTAGATCCTCGCTGTTGTCCATTTGTAGTAAAAAATAATCAATAGGAAACAGGCCTCATCACATGTGGTACTTAGTGATATCAAATCTAGTATAAATGTTCAAATTCTTGCATCACATTATCAACTTGTTTGTCTCTTCTGTGTTCAAAATTGAAAGTTATACAATAATTTTTATCTTGTATGATAAAAATGTTAACTAAATATCTGTCAGAGTTGAGTGATGGGTTTATCATATTGGATGCTTTGGATGAATTTGCTTATTGTAGATCAAGATTAGATAAATTGAACTGTTTTCTAACTGGAATTTACATGTGTAATAATTACTATAATGTATAGGATAGTTTTAACTAATATAAAAGAGTGTTGCTAGCAACTTGGGCTGCATGAAATTAAAAAAAATATAAATGTGGTCTATGTTACTTACAGATAAGTTAACCTTACCTTTATAATGGTCATAAATTTATGATTCTGTCTAGTTTTTGCATTATTCCAATATATACAAAAAAAAAAAAAATACTAATCTTTCCTCAACTTACAAAGCTAAGCTTTATCATGTCTAAATGTCTATCTTCTTTCATTTACATAGTTTGATTAACAATAATTTTATTTAAGATTGCTACGGAGAAGCTGCATGAAACATATTTAAATCTCCGAGCAGCGGAGAGCAAATGCCTCAACAGCGGCTCGGGAGATGGAAGTCCAGAGCCTTATGCTGCAGATGCCTTTCTTGCCGCACTCAGAGATGTTAATTCTACATTTGAGGGTAAGTTTAGAAAGTCTATGAATACAAAGTAGTTTTAGTTTTTTCTTCATCTGACATTTTTTTCATTTAGTTATGTATTTTATTCCTTTAAATTGGATACAATTTTTTATACACTTCATAATGTTTTCTAGATTCACTTTTTATATAAAATTACGTAAAGTTGCACCAAAGTAAATAACATTGACATTGCAAACTCCAAGCGTTGACAGAAGCCATATAAAATGTTCACACATTACGTAACTAAGTATGACTTGTAAGCTATAATAAAACATCATACCAAGCATTAATACTTAAAATTAAGTTAATTAAACTATTATTAATTCGATAAACCTTGGCCTTAGTTCTAACATGCTTCCTAATAGCCACAATATTTCTAAAATTACATAATAATTAACTTACAAATTCTGACCAAGTGATATGCAAATTATTTCACTGGTACAGTCAGCTGTATACATATTGTATTATATATTATACAGACAATTGTAAAATTTCAGAAACTATGACTTTGGTTTAACAAATATGTATACACGAGCTGTTGCCCGCGACTTCGTCCGCGTGGTATTAGAAAACATACGAACTATATAAATTACAAAAAGCTACGTATCCCTCGGGAACCGGAGATTTCTCTGGGATGAAGCGTATTTCATGTGTACTCCAGACTTTATTTTATATCTGTGCCAAATTTAAATAAGACATGTTGAACCGTTGCACAATGATCGAGTGAACATTAAAAAACTAAATTAATGAATCCCACGGGAACCGTAACTATTCCCGGGTTAAAAAGTAGCCTATGTGTTCTTCCAGACTATGCTCTAAACCTGTGTCAAATTTCATGGAAATTTACTTTAGGCTACAAACGCTAACAAACATCCATCCATCTAAACTTTCGCATTTATAATATTAGTAAGAAGTAAGACGCATACTATTTGCAAACAGTCCTATATAAGATTATAAAGTTTTGTAACTGTATACATATTTATGCAACTGACTGTACATAGTAACACTAACATATTATTAAATCAAAATACTTTGAAGTTAAAAATAGACTCATTATGGTGTAATTAAAATAATTATGTACTTCATTTGAAAGATAATGATTGTCCATGTTATATGCCTCCGTTCATAATACTAGTTTAGTAACCTATTCTTATATAGTTCAAGCATGATCTTAACATTTCAGACACTTAAGTTAATGACATTCCAGTATTAGAGTGTTATCATAAATTCTGATCTAGTAAGGATTAGTTAAATTCACACATACCTTTGAATTCTTCTCAAGATATTATGTTTAACTAGCTTTTCCCCGCGACTCCGTGGGTGTGGAATTAAAAAAAAGCAAGCCTATGTGTTCTTCCAGGCTACCCTATACATTTATGCCAAATAACATCAAGGTCCATTAAGCCGTTTAGGTTATAAACTCTAACAAACATCCATCCATCCATCTAAACTTAATATCAGTAAGATTACACAGTTTTGAATATCTTGTATTTTATAAATGTATTGTAGGAAATCGCCAACAAGACGCCCACGAGCTGCTGGTGTGCATACTAGACAATATCCGGGAGACCTGCCGCGCGCTCAGCACTAGGGCGTCGCGGCTGCAGGTACATGAGAATGGAGACAGGTAATACTAACATATCGAAATTAATTTCTCCATGTACAATATTTGAAATAACTTAAAACTACTGGGCCAATTTAAAAAAGACTTTCACCATAAAAAGCTATGTTCAACTAAATAACAACATTTTTTAATATTTAATAAAAGCCCCCAATGGCAATAAATGACAAAAATAATGTTTTTATTTTATTTGTTAATTCCACCGAAGTCAGAACAGCTAGTTTTGGATAATTATGTGTTATTTCAGAGGCGGTTTTACTTTAATTATTTGATACTAGCTGTTGCTCGTGACTTCTCCCGCATGATTAAAAAAAGCCTATATTATTTATTACTTACTGAAAATGTAGTTTTTTAACGATGAAAGAATTTGTGTAATTGACCCAGTAGTTTTTGAGTCATTAATACGTACAAAAATACAAATCTTTCCTCTGCATATTAGTACAGATTATATGATATTTGTTGGCAGTAACGGGCTGTGTCGGCACGCGGGGCTGGAGGAGGGCAAGCCGACGCTGGGCAGCCTGCGCAAGTCGTGGAAGAAGCG